TTATCCTCAATGCCTCATCTCACTTGCCCAGACGGTAGGTCTTCCAGCATGAAACCTTTAAATGATAGCACTTACGTCGAGAGGCATAACTCTCACTTCCGTACTGAAATTTGCGAATCAAAGGTGCGTAATTCATTAATCCTGTCTACACTTTCCTCTCTAAACATGTGTTTGTGAATAAGGACCATTTCTAGATCTAATCCAACTAGTTAATCCCAATTTGGATTGCGAGTGCCTCAACTACATGGAGTAGGTACTCAGATGCGTAGTTCTGTATCCATAAGAAAAGACTCTAATTACTGAGAACAAAGAAATCGCAGGGAAGGGAGATGATGAGAGGGAAGCGCATAACGCAAATTTAGATCTGGTTGCCAGCTACCCTTAATTTTTTAAACCTTTGAAGCCAAAATGAAATGGTGAAAGATTCCATAAAAGTAATAAGTAAAACTCCTGGCTCCCGTCCTATTGACAAAGTTGGCAGTGTGGATAATGCAACATCTCCTAAGGGAGGAATGCATTGCATTGCTCTTGCTTTCGATTGGTCAGCAATTATCGATCGGTTAATTAGTCTAGCAATGAACCAATTGGCTTTGAAAGCATGCTTTATGAGTTCCAGGATTTTTGATTCGTGACTGGTCTTTCCCATCATATTTTGGCGATAGGTGTAAACAAAGCTTTTTACCTGTTGCTCATAATATCCATGGTACTACTTTGCTTCTCACTTCTCAATGCTCCAGTTAAAAATGCTTTAAGTATAGTTGAACAAATTGTCTCCTTCATCTGCCTGATTGTGAATAAGTGTTGTCGGTGTACTGGCACGGTGTACTAGCACCTCCCCCTTCGGATACTCAGGAATCACTCTTGCTTGTTTTATTAATTTCGTAGATGACAACTTCCTTCTCATGTTCCTGCGACACAGCAAGTACGTTCACTCGAAAGCGCAGGCCAGGTTGGATAACTTTTGCACCCTCTCCACCATGAAGTCCATTGGCGACATCGTCTGGGCAACCCCAGTCAACTTGAAGTCGAAGACACTTGACGGCTACCTCAATGCAGGGTAATTTGATTAGAATGTTGCAACCCACCTGTCAGTTGCTCATAAAATTGCACCATAGAATATAGGTGATACTTCTAGCCAGTGTGCGCGTTAAACCGGCAGTTTGTATGGATTCACAGTATGAGATATCATTTCTAAATCAACCAGCATGTTTAATGTAATTGTAGCATTCATCTTCCTCTGGACTACACGGAAAACGGGAAAATATGCGTATGGATACGTCTAGGTGATATCCATTGCATTCATTCTTAAAGTCTAGGCGTGTGGAATCTCGACAAACTGTCATTTGGACAAATACTCTACTACGCCTACAAAGTTATTTTCATGATCGCCTCAGATCCACGAGCTATAATCGCTGGAAGCGCAGTTATTATTGACTTTACTGGTGCCACCTCCAGACACATTCGCAAAGATCCGAACGAAATGAAATCGTGGGTCAGATTTGTCCAGGTACGGAATTGATAAAGCCACTTTTGCCAAACTTTGACTTTTAACTGACTTTGTGCATCTTGGGCTTGTAATATTTAGTCTTGTGCCCCGATTCGGTTGATAACTTCCCATTTAAAATACACCTGTTCGGAAGTCTACGTGTACACCAGTAGTGTGGATAACTTCATCACGAATGCACATACGCATTGTTGATGTACCAACTCAAGAACGTCATACAATTGAGACGCTTGGGATCAGCTATGATCCAGACCTGACTGAGCAATAAGGTACAGGCCTACTTACTAGATACGAGCATCTTATGGTTTCCTCATTAACTATTGAATATACATGGTTTGATGTGGTAGTGTTTAGCCATCTTTGGCCGTGTAACCCACTACTTGAATCCAACCGGAGGGAAAAAAATCCCGCTCACAGTTCAAATTCTCTCTAACATGGTAGAGCTGCACCGAGGATAAAAGAACATCAAATGATAACAAGCTTTCTGTCTTGATTACAGGAGGCAGTGCCGTTGAGACCTCGTCATATAATTTTCTACAATGAGGGCAAACTTCTAGACACCATGATGAGTGTCATGATGTTCTACGTGAAGGAGAAGATGAAAGACCGAGTAAGCTACTTGGCCTTTATCTGTGCTGTTTTATGAACTTGATGAGAAGCTTATGCAAAAGCTATAAGCATGTATTTTGTATGAATAAAATTAATAGATAGTGCGGTGCGGTTCGGATATTGAGAAAGCCTTTGAAGCTGAGCCGGACCTGAGAGCTGTGCTGCCACCAGAATTAGGGGGTGAAGGCAAACCCGTCGAAAATCTCATTCGTAAGTTATATTGCTTTAGACAACTAATTGCCGCCTTTGCTTTATGCCTGATTCTCATCTGTCTAGCATGGATTGAATCTTTAAGTCGTTTCATCGGACAAAGCCAATCCCGGGTACCGTCAGATAAATTAGGCTTGTGCATTTTCAGAGTAAAGCCACTTAAAAAATCCCAAATAAATACAAGTGCACAAAGAAGTAACTCAGTTTTTCGGCGTATCATTACATTTAAGCATATATATTAAGAATATCACGTGGTCTTGATTATGCAAACAACAATGTTGTTATGCTTCAGAGGCGAACAAGAGGCACTTCCTTGAATTTTACGGGAAAGGTGATCCAACAGGAACAATTAAGGTGGATGAATCGAAGAGGCCGATCTCGACTCGCGATTTCCTGCATGACTACAAAGAATACGACTTAAATATCATGGGGAAGAGCGGGACATATGTTAAGGTGGATCAGAGCGAAATATAATGGTAAACTCACTAAAGAATGGCGCCATACTTTTAAGTAAATAAAAGCATTAAATTAGTTTGCGGGATCTGCTATGCATTGCCGATGTATTGAAGACCCTAAGGGGCTACTGGAACGATCCAGAGGCCATGCCGCTCAGCAAAAGTACAATCAAGGGTTTCAGAGGGCCAGCAAAGCAAAAACAGGTAAACAAATAATCAAACTATTACACTCGTACCTATCGGCGATGTTCACGAGGCGTAAGTGAAAAAAAACGACTGGTATAGGGACGTGTCGTCACATTAAAAAACTGGCAAAGTGGCTGTGAAGTGCATCTACTAAAGTGGCTTAGTCTTCTTATTTAAATTATGTTTGAACGAGAAATTTTGAGATAGAAGGATGTAAATTAATAAGTTTTTAAAATGCAACCGAACATTGTAAATCTGGAAGTATTTAAAATTTTTTCCAAGCAAAGTTACTGCATCATACTGTTATTGCAACGGTCCGGGTACCGCAAAAAATAAAATTTGATTGCTTATTTATTGACTAGTTGCAACATTAAGAGAGTAAAGCCCAAAAATCTCTTCTTCAAAAAAAATGTTAGATTTAATGAAAACGATTAATTTTTCCTGATTAAATCAAATATTAGGGTGATTTCTCTACATTTGCTATCTCTCGATCATTCACAATTCGGTTAATACTTCAAACATGCCTCCTCGTTGTTGCCAATATAATCCAACTTAATCGTTCAGCTTATTTTAAACTCATTTATTACATTTTAATTAGTTTTTAATAATTCCTATTAAGATTTCACTGATATTTGTTTAAATTTGCTCCACAATCTGTAATGTACTTGGTTTCTCATATCTACCTAATAGAGATTTAGTGGTGGAACCTCGCTGCCTCGTTAGCAGAAACGGAGTGGCGTGTGTGGTGTGGCCGGGAATACAACAGCTGAAGAAATGTTTGACATCCCATTCTAATTCCTTTATCTTGGTGAAAAGAGAAGATCGTTTTTTGCCTAGCAGAACTCCTCCCAATGTTATCACCAGGTAATACTTGCTGTTTGTAACTTGTACATAAATTGATGGTTGTGACGACTGTGTAATTGTACGTGCGATTGGGTAATATCATTGTCAGGCATTGATTTAAGCTCCGATCTTACCCTTCTTTACAACTGCTGGCTTTGTACCGATCGTTCCACTGGAGTTCTCATGAATTTAAATAACCTTTTTTTGGGTACGAGCGGACATTATGACATTCCACCTCATTGATATATCTGGATCGGACTATTGTATTTTAACTTACTACTGCATGAAAAGTCTGTTTAACTTTAAGTTGATTGCTTAACACTGGTTAGTGTTTGAAATAGAATCAGTTCCATTCGTCAAAGTTGGTCTATAAATCAACCTAGCCGCTAAATGCACAGATTATATACCTTTCTGATGTCCTTGGTTTCTTAACCCATTATATTTATAACGCTTTCCGACAGTCTGTTCTGATCAGTCGCTGTTACTTAAAAGTTGAATGGTATCCAAATCTGAAAAATTCAGGTTACACTCCTCACTCACGCTTGTGTGCCAATTCTATAACCGTCACGATCTAGAACTTGAGCCTGCAGTAAAGACTCAAACATACTTTGAACTGCCCTTCCGATGTAAGGTCTCGCGATTTAAAGCAACTGCAATGGAAGTGTTGTTTTCAATCCTTTTAGATGTGGGTACTCCTTAAAGAATAGGTAAGAGCCACCACTCTCTTTTCGAAGTAAATGCGTTGAATACATTCTAGAGCTACTAACAGTGTAGTGTTTCCACTACTTGGAAGTGGCTTTTTGTAGGCGCGCAATTGGTTTGCAAGAATCCAAGAATGGATTAAGCTCCAAGAAGCCTCTCTAGAGGCGAAGTAATGACAGGGTGAAGGATTATTTGTCCTTAGGAGTAATATAGCTATTTCACCCACCTCGCATGGCTGGGGAATGAGATAACTACATGAGTACCAAAAATGTAACTTCGTCGATGAAGAGTTATAGCACCAGATGGGACATAACACTCACATTATTCTGTTCCTGCACCCTCCTGACACATTCTTTAAAAGTAGTAGAAGTTGTTTCAGAAACGACCAATTTGTTTTTCCTTACTTTTGTCTTGTGTCGAGGCAACTCTTTTGTATTGTTTTGACTCATTGGGTGGCTGGCTCGTGATGACAAATGGCCTTCATTTTGTGCCCTTAAGCAAACGAACATTTCACTAGTTATTTCTCAACCAGCCGCTCATCATCCATCCCACACTTTATAGCACCACTATCATCCCCGGAAGAGTGTACTACAGTGTTTGGTATACTACAGACGAATGTGTTTATTACAACCGATTTCGGTTGCATTTATCTTCATCTGCTCCACATAACCCGAGGCGACGCAAACGAGAGTTGGAAAAAATGTCACCCTGAGGAATGAGCAAACCACTCAGAACCAATCATTATTCCATGGAAGTGAACTTAAGCTATTTTATGATATAGCCTAAGGCTTCATACCTCGTATCGCGAAGCTGATATGCGGGCAGACTGCCACCTGCGAGTGAGATGGGCCGGGATGGAGGATAGTGCCTCTCCTCATCTTCCATACACCTCAAGTGATAATTATCACCTTTTTTCGGACATTGGCTATATGAGACATTGCGGGAAAATAAAAATAAGATAAAAACGTGAAGTGACAAACAAAATTGCCCTTTTCTCTTTAAGCTATGGGATCAAAGCCCATAGTGTGGATTCAACGATGTCAAGCAGGCTAATGCTCAATTGGGGAGGGACCTGGTTTGGGTCGTGCGTATCAACCTTGATCATGCAAGCATAACTCTCGGCTGGACGTCAATAACCAACGCACCCTACTGAATGGTTAAACCGCCATGGAAATGGGCCATTAGAAAAGGCAAAAGTGCCTGCAAATTTGCAGCCGTGATTTGAGATGCACACCGCTACTTGATCGGAGGAAAGTGTGACGACAAGTTGAAGTCAACTGTCGTGGATATCATTTGTGGAATGTGCACAATGTTGTGAGTTTTTTGTATTAAAAGTGTCTTTTATTGCGCTATGATCGAGCGTCCTGACAGTCCATCTCGTAAATTTTGATGGAACCACCTATTACCTTTTGTCTTACTATTATACCACAAAATTTGTTTCTCTTTTAGAAAATTGTTTAATACTAATTTACCTGTCTATAAATCAAACTGGCTGCTAAATTCGCAGATTAAGCACCTTCTTAATGTCGTTGGTCTCTTTGCTCACTATGATTATAAGGCTGTTCAAAGGTTTGTTTGGGCCAGTCACTATTGTTTAACAGGTTTAACGCCCTGTGTGTGTGACTACTACAAGTAATTATTTGTGAAGGATTTTTATTTGTAGTATTTCTCCCCGATCGTCAGCCATGATCTGGAACCTAAACCTGCAGTAAAGGCTTAAATTTGAGAGACTTTGAATAGCCCTTCCAATGTAAGCCCTCACCATTTAAAAGTAAACGCTCCTTATGAAGCAGTGGTGGGAGCTCCCGTTTTCATTACAAAGTATGTTGAATACATGCCTTTTACCACCAACGGAGATGTGATAGGGCGGGAAAAAGATACTGTCTCACCTCTCCCTCTGTATTCTTCTCCTATTTTCAAAAGGGGTTATTACCTTATCTTGGTATCAGATATGACAAATATGAAATTAGGTGAAAGTGAGGTCAAAGTAAAAGTAACTCATAGGGACGAAGCGTTTTACAAAATCAAAGTTGGCAGGTAGGTTTGCTCAAGTTAAAAGTGTCACGCTGCAATGGCAACCACTTTACGAATCTTGTCGTAGTTTACTGATTACCCTTTACTGGATTTGATATCTAGCCTGCAGTGACGTCAAGGTACCCCCTGTTCCAGATCATCGTATTTTGATTTAAAAAAACTACTTTTGTCTTTTATAGGTGGCCTGGTGTGAATCAATCCGCCGAGTGCACACTTATCAGCACATTCATACCCTACATGCGAGGTGAGACGAGATGGGAAGTAAAGCAAGACTTCAGCTACCATTCACCTTAAATTTCCTGTGTGTAGCAATTCCCTGGGACAAAACTACTTGGATTTTATAAATCTGTCCTTTGTGTCGATGTTCTCCAAAAACCCATCTCTAGGTTTTTACTATTGTTTTTGTACTGAAAAAAAACCTTAAGTAGTCGATTCATTGCAAGAATTTCGGACAGCCTCAATGTACGAAAATTTACTTCACGCACGTGTAGTTATGACATTGTATGCAAGCGAAAATGGAGAGATGAGAGAGTGTGAGACAAAGGTGAGTAAACACACAGAAAAGCACACACGCACACACATAAGCGCGAGGGAGAGGTGGTGAAGAGGATACAGAACCGGAGTTGGGGTGGGGGACTTGTTGCTGTGTATACGCAGCAGCTGAACGCGCCATAGCATGCAAAGCTAAAAGGAGGCAGTTGAGAAGTAGATAGAGAGGTACGTGTTTTTGAACCAATTCAGGTGGGAAAGGGAGTGTTGAACAGTTACAGAGTGAAGATCAGTGTGATAGACGAGTGACGGTTGTTTACTTGGCTAACTTTTGAGGCCGTTAACTGCTTCGAAGTGTCCACAGTCTGCACGCTAAAATCAAGAAGACATTTCTTATTTAATGATATTTTTCAAAATGGTTATTTAAAGAATAAAAGACTTAAGTCATGTCATGTAAAAGGCAAGAGGTTTTTGAGAAATGGGTTCGACTAGATATTATTATTACTCTAAGATAAGGTGCGTGCCTATGCTTTTACTTGACAAATATACCCATGATCTGCTTAAATAGGGAGACGTCTTACTCGTCCACGTTTGGCTAGTCTTAACAAACAAGAATTTGCCGTGTTTTAAAAAAAACAAAACTAAGAATTCGGGCAAAGAATAACCCCCATGGAAATGCCAAATTTCTCAGTCGCCTTATCTACAGATGCAACTGAGTAGTCGAGATGTTAAACAGCTTCAGTCTTGTTTGCTTCTTTGTTAGCGTTGGAATTTTGTCGACAGGGGTGAACAAAGATATTCATGGGTGTAACTATTGCAGTATCCTTACATAACCACCTCATTCGGGTTTAACGTTTAAGGTGAAAAACTCCACAGAGAATCTTAAATCAAGGCCGCCTTTAGCTGCTCTTTGCGTGATTTTCAATTCCTCTTTTGTGAGCAGAGACTTGTAAGTGACTCAATAGCATGCATGAGGCGAAACTTGCATATTACTAAATATACCCCTAAGCTAAAATAACTGTGAACCCAAAGCAGAAAAAAGAGATTCGGTAATTTTGGCCCGTTTAATATGGTACTCATTCGTCTGTAGATTGACATAAATTCAAAGGAATGGTTTTGCACAAACTTGCGTTGGGAGCATTTAGTCTTTTATTTGACACTGAAAGGCGGTGGTTTCTTTGCCGCTGCTTATTGTTACCCTAAATTGTAGAAGTCAGCCTGCTCTACTGAGATAATTCAGTAGTAAGTATTTGCTCTAAGCACCCCACTCAACGTATGGATATTTATTGACAGTCGTGATACAGCGCTTTCTTCTTATGTAGAAAAGAAATCACCTAAACAAACACTTTCTAATGTGTATGTGCCGCTTCAATCATGGCAAAAGATATGAAAACCGATACCATAATGCTTCCTTTACTGTAAAACTTGCAAATCAAGCATTCATCGATAAAATACATTTCGTGTTGATTTTGATGTACTTAAGGGGCTTTTTTAAGTTAGCTTAGACAATCCAGGGGGCAATACAAATTTTTAGGAAAATATGCATGATAAGTGAAAACACCACCACACTATCTGCAGAGGAGCAAAAATGTTTATTAACGATACGAAATGACACTTTGGAGACTACGTGCAATGAGTAAAGTGACTTAGCGTGGTGACACACGATGAGAGAGGAAGGTGGAAAGGAGGCGACCTCCTTCTCTCTCCCCCTCTCTATCTCTCCGTCTGTCTACCTCAAATGGTTTCTAGCAGGTCGATTCGTGTCCCAGTGCAGTGAGCATCAGGTAACTAAAGTCGTACACAAAAAAACAATAGGAAACGCTAGTTAGAAGACGATCGTTCGAAACCAGCATTTCTACTCAGCCAGTCACAAATCGATCAGTGCTACATCACTACTCTCTAACTACTCAGCCATTCCTAGTAGTATGGGTAGTCTGAGGACGTTTTAATTTATTTTAAAACATTTACAAAACAAAACTATGGTAAAACATACGTGATTTTCGCAGAGGGCTTTCATCGCCTCCAACTCATCCTGCGTGCTTTCCAATTTACGACAGAGATCTGCCAGTTCTTTCTTCTGTGCCTCCAAATTGGACTTGAGAACCCTAAAATCAATCTGAAAAGAAAATAAAAAAGCAAACATTCATGAGGAGAGAGCTGTCTTAAGTCATCGGCTACACATTGCATGGAATCACAGAGGATGTAGGCAGAAGAACTGCAATCTGGAATGCAGACCAGAGTAGTGGTAGAGTTGATCCGAAATATGATGCTTAGGGTGCGAAATAAAAGCGCTTAGTGGATTCCACAACCTGTCTAGCTGAAGTTGCTGCAGACGAATTGCTACTTCGCTCACTAATTTTTACATGAGATACTTCTATATTGGCATGCATAGGGGATCTTCGCTAGGATAAGACACCTTTGAGTGACTTGTTGACGGAAGCAATTTTTAAATTGCACCTAATTCTACAAGGAGCTTTCACAAATTTGAAGCTGAGTTAATTTTGGCTCGTAGTGTGGGTCAGTTTTGAGTCACGTTCATTGGGTTTAACCCAACTTCATGACATGAAGTTGGGTCTAATGTAAGAAGGTAACAACACAAAGCATTCCAGTGGGCTGACACTGCATGCAGCCGGTAAATAAACAATGGCATACATTTGACAATGCCGTAACTTTAAAAAGGGAGCCTTTATTTGAGTGCTGTTTTCGAATTTGTTTAACTTCTAGTCTATTTTAGCGTAATTCGGGAAAACATTTTCGTCGTAGTAGACGAGAGGAAGCAGCAGAGAATCTATCGTACCAAATTTTTATTTGATCTAAGTTTGATTCTTCTAAGTTGAAAATAGGTTACTTACATCAGGGGAAGCCTTTGCCAGCTCTACCTCAAGGTCCCCGCATCGCTGTCGCAGCTGCGCCTCCACAGAATCCCGCCTTGCTAATTGCGTGACGACCCACGTCTCCAGTCGTGCGAACAGTCGTTGCTGTGTACCTGTCGCTGAGCCACTGTCGCTGCCACCACTGCCTTCGGTGCAGGCACGAAGCGCAGCAAGTAGGTGGCCGCAGGCAACAGCAGAGGGATGTGTGGGGACATTAGTGCCACCGACCTCCGCCAGCAGCGTCTCCGCCTCCGCCAACTGCTCTGCGGTGCGAATGAATCGCTCCTGCAGACCACGCAACACCTCGCGCACTTCCACGCAGGCCTTTATGGTGCAGGGCTAGGAACATATTTAAGTGCATTCAGCAAAGACTGACCAACACAGCTCGGATGCTTACTGAGCCATTTTAACAACGAAATTCTTAATCAAACCGATGCTCGAACATGTAATTGCCCTCAAACCAAACACATCTTTAAAAAGGAAAACAAATTTTTACTAATAGTAGCAAATTATAACGCGATGGGTGGGGTCGGCTAGATCTGCGAAATGGGCCGTCAGGAAATAACTGCTCCTACCCAACAGTTTATTTAAATTCACGAACAATGCAAAAGCAGCGAGAATAAGGAGTGCTAAGGTATGCCTTATGCCGCATATTAGAGGAATTTAGGCAGTTAAAACCCAGATATTACCACCAACCTTCATGCTTTCGCCGTCACTGTTCGAATATCTGTTGGAAGAATTGGTGTGAACAGCCGTGTCCGTCTCGTAGCCGCGCAAATCGGTCTGCCTCTGGCGACGCCTGGCCGCAGCTAGGTTTGCTTCGTGTGTTGTCGACTCCGAGAACTCACGCAGCATATCCTCATAGAGAGCCTACCAAAAAAAGCAACAAAATATGCCTACTTTTAAAACATCAGTAGAAGGTGTTCATTTGTTTGCACATTATAGCATCACCGTCAAGGACTTGTGCACGTACTCATGATGGAATGCATGTCCCCTTCTAGTGAACCCCTTGATCTATCAACGGCAGGCAATAAATTCAACGATCTCTGAGGTGTTCACTATTTCAGAAGAAAATGTGAACTATGTTAAAAAATCTATGTTAAAATTAACAAATCCGCTTGATTGAAAGATCATCTCTGTCCAGCGCATATGTTGGTATCAAAATCTATGTCATTATTCAACACAGGTTTTAGCTGGTAAAGTCTACTAAACGCTTCTGTAACGAAACTTTCGAATATAAAACAAGGGTGAATTCTTTGGAATTTCGTAATGAATAGATGTAATTGAAATATGTTCTTTAAACATTCAAAATCAAAGAAATTACCATTTTTAATGCTCACCTGCCAAGAATGGGTGTTTGTCACTAAATTTGAATGGTTTTATTTTCGAAATTACTTACCGTTGTGCAATTAAACATTTCAGTTTTAAGAACCTGATCCATAATAATCCCTGGATTAGGATCAAATATGGCTTTTCACGCTCTGCACGTTTGCTAAATAATCATTCATGATTATTCAAAGAAATTTCAATGCTTCTTTTAGATCAAATATTTAGCGTTTCATTTGCGAAATCGTACAAGTTACGTGCGTATTTGGTAAGTTGATACAACACAAATGCTTGAAAATGAATCGGTGTGCGACTTCGAGAAGAGTGCCTCACCATCCTAATAAGCAAAACAGCGGATGCAGTTCTTTTAAAGACACAAATTCAGTGCAGAAAAGGGTGTTAGGAGCGAGGTATTCTGTGTTAGTGCAAACATTAGCCTGTTGGTACACAGAACACAAACCTCTATGACTTGCTTGTGACAGGGAACAAACTATATACAACGGAATATTAATTTTTACTAGACTTCTGGAATATTGTAAGTACTGGTTTAACGTCAAACAAAGGCTAGAGAAAAGTAGCCGAGCAACAAGTAATTCAGTTACATTATGAATATTAATAAAGTAATTTGTGCGATATTTGGATGATGTATTCGGTGGGATTGGAATTCAGCTTAGAGTGAACCAAAGCATTGTCTCACCTGGAGCCGCACGCTAGCCCTCTGGGCACAGGACTCGGAAGCTTGGAGACTGGCCATTCTGTCATGCAGTGTACGCTGTTCAGCCTCCAGTTGAGCAATACGCGTCGCCTGCTCCTGCAAGCGCACTCGATCCAACTGGCTAGCCTCTGACAAAGCCAAATTCACTGCCTCCAACTTTATCATCTAAATGAAGAGAATGCGTACCTTTACTTAATTTAGGTAGGACATTCTACGATTTGTGGGTGCTATTCGATAAGGTAACATCAGTATTCGGTACAGGGCCACTTGTAGGGAGTAGATTTTTTTTCTGTTTTAGAAAAGGTAGTCTATAATGCATAACTAAAGGATGAAAGAGATCTGTAAGTACACTTTAACCGACACTAGTTAAAGGGGACGCAATACTTAGTTGAGTGTGACACCGTATTAACAAAAAATATGTGATGTCCCAAACACATATTTATAGGATAGCGTTATTTCAATCCAGTGGATGATACCAAGAATACAACAGATATTTTCACTTTGTTGTCAAAAATTGTAACGACAGCTGAATAAGAATGCGAGACCACTTCCATGCTGCATCGTATAAAACAGCCCTACTTAATCAAATTCAGTAGACATTTTGATTTCGTGAGTTATACAAACACAAAAGCCTACTTTAGTCTGCGCATCGAGGTCGTCTTTTAGCCCCGACTGTAAGGTTCCTGAATAATCCAAGGACGATATCGGCCTACTACGCTGACTGTTTGTCGATCCAGTGTCTATGGTTGCTAGGAGACGGCGTCTCAGTGCGGCCTCATTGCGTCGAGAGGCTGTGAGAGCCGCCTCGTTGGCGCGGTTAGCGGCCTGTGCCTGGGACAGCCCAGATGATAGCTCTGCGACCCTCCTTTCAAGGTCAGCTCGGCGTTTTTCACAAACAGCCAATTGGCCGCGCATGCCCTCGACCTCGGAGGAGTTTTGCAATTGACTGAACTGAGCGGAGTAGTACTCGGGCGATGTGGCATCTAAAACAGGGTCATCTAGAGGGTGTGAAACAAAATCATTTTGAGAGTTGAGGTAGAATTTAGTTGCCTACTTCAATGGAGCCGAAAGTTGGTCACTTACATTTAATGTTCGCCCGAGAACCGGTTGAAAGAAGGGAATTTCTCAGTCTAAAATTAAATAAAAATAATCACTTTTTTGCTTCCTAAAAAAGACATTTGTGTTACTGGGACTAAAAATTCATCAAAAACCAGATCCAACCATTTAGATTGTAAGTAAAAGATTATCTCGTTTATTTGGAAGAAATTGCGTTGATCTGCCGAAACACACAAATCTGAGAGTGAAAAGCAGAAATTTGGATGTACTTTTGTCTCTAAAAATGCCTCTGATTACTACAGCTAAAATGCTGGCAAGCTTTATCAACCCCATGGGAGGAAAATTAATCACCAAGACAGATGCAATTCCGAACTAACAATGTAGGAAGGAAATTTTCGCGAGAACGATACGGTAAAAAGGGATTACTTGTATTGTATTTGATTTGTATTGAAATCCAAAAAGTTAGACCGTTTTTATAGCTGTTTGAGTGCGTCAATTAATTTCACCTCCCGCAAAGTAACATTAAGAACGTGCACGATGAATGAGATTTCGCGCTTAGAAAGTCTTTGACAGATAAATTGCATTTTTTGCTGGTTTTTTTCCGGTCAGAAGACGTACACTCACGCCACGCGTGTCAACGAGACCACCAATTGCGATTTGATTTAATTCACAAATTAACAAAATTAAAACTTATCACTTTCTTATGAGTAAAGAACAATGGTTCTATTCATTAGTACTTTTCCGTGAGTATTTGATGTTGTACAATCCGTCACCCCTTTTCACTTGTTTGTACAAAACGAAAACAGTTAACTATCACTAATTAAAATAATCTAACAACCCCTTTTTTATTTATGTAAAACGTCCAGGCGTTTCAAGTCTATGGTTTCTGAGTTTTGACATTCACTATTTTTATGGCTGGCTTAATTTGACATCTTAGCAATGATCTGGCGGAAGTTAATTCATCAAAAACTTAATGGACTTTCTGCACGCAACTCCATTATGGTTAGCCTTCGGCAAGGCTATGCAAGGCATTGGCATGGGCTTACTTAAAACAATCATTAAAGTTGCTTGAATGTGGTATCCAAAGGGGGGATTAATAGTGAGTGTGTATTCTTCTTTACTTCATGATATCAATTTATCCCCACAATTAGCCCACATAAGAAAATTATGCGGGTTTTAAAACTCAAAAGACAATAGTGGAATGCAAAAGACACTCGGAAAATATCACAAATAGATGCGTCTGAACATTTGATCATGGAGGAAGAATAGATGTTCATAAAAGAGTAATGTTTGTTTAACTGAGCAAATTCCTCCATTAATCCCAAAGTTTAAAATTTTGCCTTTACCAATTTGGTTGTAAATTGATTAATCCAAACAATCCAGAGTGAGGAAAATAAAATCCTATTCAGAATCCGAAAATAGGAAAAACCCACCTAATTTAAGCAGCTTTAGCACATTTTAGCAGGCAAGAATTCTACCTGCAGTCAAAATTCAATGTGAGGGAAGGTCAGTGGTTTCAGGTGCGATTTAAGAGGTAGCCACGGGGCTAGTTGCTGATTCTCCACAAAATATCCACCTTCCTAGTCCAAAGCAGAGCAAATAGGGGGTGAATTCCCCACTGTTTAGTTTATATTTACTAAAGTGGAAAACTTGGCATGAAAATCGGTTACATTCGCTGTTGTATTATAGGTTATCATTCGCCCACTGACCTTTTTGGCCTCTTAAGCCTTTGCTTTTTATTTGAAATCCATTTAAGCCGCATACACATGGCTGAAATTAGACCTGACCTTTTAAGTCTTGGCTTAGAGAGCCGGACACTTCTTTGCAAAGATTGATCTGTTAACTTACCTTTTAAGGTTGCGAATTGATTCAAGGAGGTTCTCGGCGTTGAGCGACTCAACACCTTCCAATTCTGTCACCAACTGTTGCACTGTAGCAGGGCTAAGCTGAAGACTCCGGGGTCTATCCTCCCCACTTTCATCATCCCTCTTGCTGCGGTCGTTACTGGTGGTCTGAGAGACATGAAATTTCAAAAGTTAGAAATCTGCTTAGGAGGTACTGCATATATTTGTTGCCATGTCGACAAAATATCTGGAATGTCAATTAAAACCTGGAGTCCAGTTTCGCCAGTCAGATGGCATTGGGTAAACCCGATACAGGCCTCTTCCTAATACTTGCATCAAGAGCGATGAAAAACCATCTGAAAAACGATGGTCCATTTCATTCTAATTATGCGTTGTGACTTGTTGCAAATTACCAAATGCATGCGACTCTATATGCATAGATACGAGCACACCAAACCTTGTTATCTTTCCTTCCACTTTCTTCCCTCAGCAACTGCTGGATCACCATGGTGAATATGATGCAAACTTGCTTAGCTTACGGTTGTAAAGCTCCAAATGTTTCCAGTAAAGCGTGTGTGGTGTTTAAAGAAGGTGGGAATTAGAATCTGTCGTCCAGATATAGTCTAGACAATTTGATTAATTCTAGTGATGAACCACGAGGTGATGCATTGCACTTAGGAGGACACCCGACTCTTGATACTGATGGGTGACGTGTCGGCAGCAATGAAAGCAAGTTAATAGTGATAAGCTGTGGTTCCTTTTTTTGTGGATTTAATTTAAATTTAAATGATAAGAAAAACTTTCACACTCCATACTGAAACACTTCATTTACACCCACATTAGCTAAGAGGAGAAAGTCTTGGGATGCGGTTAGCTGGGATCCTCATATATAGTACACCGTCATTATAAAAACGTGTTGTCCATTTTACATTATTTGTCGACCGACCGACTGAATTTGTGATATGCAAGGACTTTGTATTGTCACATTAAGCAAATCGACATTTCATTGGTTGCTCCCCAACAATCCATTCGTTAGCCATCCCACACTAAAAAAGCATTTCCATTATGCCCACAAGACTGTTTTGCGTGTGTTTAGTGGACAGCAGACAGAGTTTTTCGATAAACCCAATTTCGGCCGAAGTTCACGTCATCGACTCCCTGGGCTGGGAAAGGCCTCGCACTAAGAAATAGCAAACCATCCCGAACCAGTCAATTAGTCGATGGGAGAAAATTTATTACTTTTCACAATGCACCATAAAGCTTCATACCTTGTACCTCGAGGCCGACTTTTGCGAAAATGTGTACTTTAGGTTAGATAGAAAGGAGATGCCGCTTCACCTCATTTTCATCCTCCAAATTCCCCTGATGACCGTTCTTATAGTGAAATTGGGGTAGAAGCAGAGGTTGCTAAGGCTAGACGGTTTGCTTCTCCAGACAGAATGTGTCATAAAAGTAAATTATACCCCAAGTTGCTGTCTCCTTGGGGAGAGATTACGGATTGCGGTACTGACTATCCCCGCAATTGAACCTTTCAAAGCAGTTTTTTACTCAAAATTCATAATTACTTAAAAACTGATTATATGACATAAAACTTGTGTAATGGTAAGTAGAGCTTATTGCAACCAATATGATTACAAATTCGGGGGAAGAAAGTGAGATTTTGTCCATCTCTTGGCAATAAAATTATTATTATTGACAGCTCTCCAATTTTATAGTCAGACATCTCTTATAAATTTATTTGGTTTTGACAGTGTGTTGAAGCTAAAAACGGATAATTTAATTTCAATTTTTGATTTGCGAATGACTTTAGAAACAAGGCACTTCAAAGCGCGGCTGAAGTCTGAAACCGCCTGTCCACCTCTCCAGCAACCTCTCCGTATTTTAATCCTCTCCATGTGCTTTTACATATTAAGACTGGACGAATGAAAGACGTCTCCCCCATTATGGGGCCAGTTGCAAATGAGTAATTTTCTACTCCTCAGATTTTGGGCCAGTTGGCGAAGCGGTCTACCACGACATTAATGACAAAGAGGATGAGGGAATATTTTACGTTAAGAATTCGCAAAATGGTGGCGCCTTGGAGTAACAGTTTGCCCTCACTAGCCTTTGGCTAGTCAACCAACTAACAATCTTTTCTAGCAAAGAGGGAGGAAAATTGCTTCCTTTTCCCCCAGCGGCCAAATCAATTATCCCCGATTCACCGCCTTAGTGTCCCAACCAGGCTGAATCTTTGCCCTCTTTATTAAGACTATTTTGCCTACCCACCTGCCTATTAACTGCCATAATCCTCACGAATACCCCTATGGTATCGTAAAATACGTTAAAATTGAGACCTCGGCCTAAAACCTCACCTGAATGGATTTGAGCTGATCCTTCAGCGCCTTGTTGGCAGCCTCGGATTTGGCCAAGTGCTCCTCCAGCAGAATAATTTGTTCCGCTTTGGTTGCTAATTCAGTCTGAATGAGACAATAAAAGATTTAATGGTTAGGTGATGCAATTCCGAAAGATAAAATTCATTACCAGTTCCACCACGGCCATATTTTATTGCTGCCACGAATGTTTACTTATATGTGCCCAAAAAAACATTGGATGCCGATTTTGTGCGAAACGACTTCCGGTCTTCCCTCTTTTCCGAACTGCTAAGGCGAGCTCAGTCACTGCGTCAGGAAAAAACGCACCATTTTTAGGAGGCTCAGTATCATCCAGTATCTAATCAAAAAAAACTCGTACTATGCTTTAACCCTACATAAAAACGACTTTCTCCCAGAGCGTTAGGGAATCCTGTACTAACAGAGTGCACCAATTCGGCAAGCACCTCGAAAAGTCAAAATGTGATGTTTTCCCATTTATTTTACTTTTCTAAGAAAGAACTTACAAATACTTGTAAATACAGTCATACAAGTTGTTGTGGTACACCATTCATCAACGCACCAATGCGATACCCATGTCTCAGGTGGGTGATAAACGGCGAATGAATAAAGCTAGAACTTCATCAGAGCATTTTGGTACACATAAATATGTAGTGCCTTGATTGAATGGTTTTAAGGACACTTGAGGCTCCGCCTCTGGCTTCCAGACCATGCCAGTAGCCCCTAGCCCTTCTGTATGTCGATAAAATATGTTCTGACCTAATACTAGGTGGCCTTCGACTTCAGGAAAGACTCCGCATGCAGCATTGGCAGACAACTACCCTGACTTATATTACTTAATGCAGAACCTGAACGCAACGCAAGAAGGTTATGTGTTCTACGGGCCTACGACGACCCCTAACAGATGGGCTTAAAATGATGTCAAACGTTGGTAACTACCCCAATCCCGCATTCTGCAGGAATGCTATTGACAACTAGATCGGCACTGGCCGTAGGTAATCTAGAAAAGTTAGTTACAAAGCTGTCTGCGTTACCTGTGTAAAGTTGTAAATTAAGTGAACACGCGACACCTCCTCCACCTCTCTACTAGGTAGATGGAACAGAGACAGTAGACATGGCTGGGCAGCGCTGAAGTGAGAACATAGTGGCAAGGAAGAACAGACGCGATGCATTGCTTAATGACTGCTTATAGGCCAGTGCTTTTATGACTAGCGATGGTCAGCACATTCATTTCCCCTAATGAAAATCTTGAACAGGACGAAACTTCAGATCCAGTGGATTTGTGAAGGGAGATCAGTGAAGTTGCAGTCATACATCTCAAATGCACGCAAATTCGATGACAGGCGTAGTTGGTTCGCGATGATTTGCCTTGCAGCACCGACTACGTTGTGATAACCGAAGCCGGAGGTAGTCCAAGGGGAAAGGGACTACGATATGCTTTGATTATTTGTTTAACTCTTCTTTTGGGCTCCAAAGACACTTGAGGCTCCGTCGGGCCACGCCAGTAGCCCCTCAGCCCTTCTTTGCGTCGATAACACATATTTTTCCCTAGTATTATGCCTTCCTTCGTATTCAGTGAAGTCTCGGAGTGCTATAAATAACACTCTTGCTGAAGATGACAACAACTCAAACACCTAAACATGTCATCGAAAGTGGAGAACTTTAAAGCTTTATTTTTTTTAAAAAATAGAAGTTGAAGCAGAGCCCTTTTGCAAAGTACCACACACTCAGTTTTCCTGCATTTTCGCATCTAAAAAGCATTTTTTTTTTGCAGAAAAGGGGGGTTGGCAGCCAACGCGACACGCATAAAAACAAGGCGTGACAGAACTGTTAGATGGTAATCTTTTCTGTCCAAAAAATATGCGGTCAAATTACCCACCCAAATCCTCTCTCTCCTCCATGCATTCAACCGACTCGGCGACGCCGATTTAACCAAGTACTTTTTCTTGAAATTGCCTTTTCTGAATAAAACAAATGCGGGGTACAAGCACAGCTTACCTTTTTTTGCATTTTAAATCACCAAATACAAATTAATTACTCCTAAAGAATCAATTTTCCGAGGTATCAGAACACCACACAAGAACACCATCGTGTCAAGGTGGAATTTAGTCTCAAAGCCATTGTGATACTCTCAATATTTGTTTAACTTTTCATTTTGATTTGGCGGGTACGCAAGGCACCGCGACTGCATGTCCGCCACACCAGTAGCCCTCAGCCCTTCCGGACGTGGTCAGTACATAGTCCACCTTGGTGTAATGTCTTCTTCCGACTTCAAGGAAGTGTTGGAACGCTATACCATTTTCCCGTTTTTTTATCAATCCAATCTGGAAAGGTGTTAAGGACTAAAAATTTGGATCGTCAAAGCCAGGATAAGAATTACTTTCTTTGGATTTATTCAGAATAATAATACTTCAGCTAAGTACTGGAATTTAAGTAGTATGTTCACAGTGGCAGGAATTGATATCACTTGTAAAGACAACGTTGACATTCCAAAGGCAATTTCATTTCGTCAAAGTATACTAGAATTATTCTCCCGAACACTTTTTATTTGTTTGGTTTTAATTGTTAGTTGTAATTTTTTATAACGAAAGGCATTAAGTCCACCATTGGCTAACCTGTAGCAACTGGGCGCGTGTGTGTTTATCACTTTCCGCAAGGGAATCCTCATCCTCCGCCTCATCACTGACGCGCCCAATTTGTTCGCGCAGGTCCGTGTTGTCACGACGAAGCTCTCGCACCAAATTCTCCAGGTGTCGGTGCTTTGCGCTCAGGGCTGCACATTCCGCTTGCTGATTGGCCAGTTCTGTGAGCACCGATGCCGTCTCCACACGTGCAGCTGCTAGGGCTGCGGGGCCATTGTCAAGGTCGTCCTGGACAAGAGAAGAATGACAAAAACATTTAGTGAAATTGACGCAAATTAGCAGCGCCTTCGACCTTAAGTCATTGTGCGTGGATATGGACTCAAAATTCCAAACAGTCATAATTCTAGCCACTTTGAAGAAAGGGAAGTTTTGTGTAAAGAGGATCTTAAAATCCCGTTTTTTACCAGACCAGAAAATAATCTGGAGCCAGTATAAAAGTGTGTCCAGATTTGGAGACATCTGGCAATAAAAATCCATGCTAATGTGTCAACTAAGCACACTGGGTAGCTCTATAATAAATTGTTATTAATCGGCGATCAGATATCAAGAAATGTTATTGCTTGTAAAGTGTCTCAGATGGTAAAATATACAAAATAATGTCAATGCACTTCCTACAAGGGTCTCGGAGGAAAGCCAGCCACCATAGCTCAGGTGTTTCATCTTTCCACCAGAATGCGAATCTTTTATTAACCTGTAGACCAAGTAAAAGGCTCGCTAAAGCTTGTGACCACTGTCGGTTCATGAGCCATTGTCCCCTGCAACTACTTAACGTAAACTTGCTAGGGACGTACGTCACACATATGCGACACTGGGCTCAGACTAGAAAACCGGAGCTTCACATAAATGCGATGTGCTCTAATACAATGTCGTTTTCTCCAACTACGCTTAGCCTAGTGATAATGCATAGGGGATTTGGTAATTCAAGCCAAATGTGCATTCATCTACGCAAACTGCCTAGATCTCATGCGATTCAGTCTACGCTGGTGACCGGAAGCTTTCAGCCCTTCGGTGCGTTAAAAATAAAGCCACTTCCAGATTTGGGTCCTTTAAAGGTAACTCGAGTGCCACAGTGTGATTATCTGTGGGTCGAATTTCCAGGCTGGATTCAAAATGCAAATAATTTTTGAAGTGGGTTTCTTTGACTGTGCTTCCTCCGTTTCAAGGTCCTCTTGTTAAGTAGATCTTCTAAACAATTTCGTCCAAATTTCACATCAATCTGAATTTAGCCTTGGTCCAAGCAAAAGTGGGACGCCAGACCAACATTTATGCGATAAGGCTGCCTATTCTTCTCGAAAAACAATGACTACCAATCTTTAGTAAAACAAACTTTCCCCTACTGACCGATGTTAAGGCATTTGAATTACGAGCATTGTGTGTTTTAATGAAGAAAAAATAAGTCGCGATTCGGCTTTTTGTTGAGTTTGACTCCTGGACTTCAAAATTAGACGTAAGAAAACCTAAATGAGCATCAACCAATGAAAAGGTAAGAGAATAAACTCATTTCTACCCCAAGGTCATTTGCAACTTGTGAATAACAAGATTGTCTTATCATTTTCATTTTGGAAGGACCAAAAAAACTTCTTCGCCGTTCATTTCCTCAAATAATTATAGGAAACTGTGATCAGGTAGGAAGATTCAGATCAGAAAACTTAGGACTTCCCTTAAGTGAATGTACTTTGACACGGCCATGAAAAATCCTAAACTATCAAGATTTAGCAATCTTTAAAAAATTAGCCAATGCATTGAAATCCATGTATCTTTAAACGGACCATTCAGTTAGGAAGCAGTCGGCGTGCGCTATCCCCGTGTCTGAGTGGACGCCATTGACCCCTGAGGTGAGAACGAACTCGAACCCCCCGCCCTGCCTTTCACCTTGATTACCTGTACACATTCACCACGCATCTCACATAAAAGATGTCCCCCTCTAACCAATCCGCCCGTTCCAAAGGTGCGAGGAAGGAGGAATGGGAGAGAGTTACAATGGACCCGTTACCATATAGGTGACTAAAATTCGCGCGGCTTTTCTTTTTCTACAGATTGGTACAATGGCTAGTTGGAATATGTAAGATGTCATGGGTAGTTTGCATTATAAAGCATAGGTCTCTCAATCTAGTCGTACAGTATGGTACTAATGTTGCTCTCCCATTTACAACCCTTCATCAGCAAATTTTGATCAAAACTGGTTGGTTTGATTTAAGCTAGTCTGCTCTACCGGCTTGACTCAACTCGAAACCTCTCTCTGGATCTCCTGCTGGAGGTCGACCCGTCACAGCTGAGATCGCGACCCAGCTGGATACCTATCAAATGTGTGGAGGAGAAGCTACTTCAGAACCGGTGAGAAGGTGTGGTAGCAGGATTCACTACTTAGAAATTACTTAAGAGTTGGAGTCTGTTTGTTCTTAACCTTCCTTGCAAGCGTCATAAAAATGCGTCGTACATTTTAGATTGTCTGTTGACCGATTTGTGATGCAAAATGGTTTGTATATTGCAATGACCTGCTCGCCACTCACTCTACACCTTTAAAGCACGAAATCATCATCTCCAGAAGACTGCTTTGTATGTATGTGGTGGAGTGAAGCCAAAGCATGTCTATCTGGATCTCCTTCTGGAGACCGAACACCTACAACTTAGATCTCAATCCAACTGGATACGCATCGAACGTGTGGGGGAAAAGCTACTTCAGAACCGGTCAGGACTAGTCAGTCGAAATAAAACCTCCACTCTCACAAGACGATTCAAGACCGAAGAACTGCCCTGTGGAAGAGAAGGCACCAGCCTCCCCTCATCCTTCATATTTCCCTATGGGTGGTACTTTTTATTCATGAAGTCAGACAAAAGTCGCATATGCAGAAAAAGGAGCGACTAAGAGATGGCTCTGCTACGTCTAGAGTCAAGATATTGTACAAAAGTGGAAGTTGCAAGCTTGGCTTGTGGCCAGCAGAGGAGACAACAGTGATCATTGGGACGCTACAGCTTCTGGAATCTCACGGTGTTTAATAATATAACGATACGTCTATTTAATGTCAATGTATCAAAAAAGGAGGAGAAAATTATGGGCTTCTGGAAGTCTGTTCAGCTTAAGGAAGAAGTGGACTAGTTAACGACTTTGAGTTGCAAAAACAAAAAAAGATTTAAGGTTAACCGAGCCAATTTGTTTGACCATTACCTGCGAAGAGGTTTGTCAATTATCTGTTTCAATCCCATAAATAACACCCACTTTTTGCCCTAATTTCTCACTAAGTCCAGCGATCCTGTTTCTGCAGTTGGTCGTTTGACTTCCAGATGCAGTGGAATGCTACGGACAGCAATCACGACTCTGGCTTAAGCTGTGCTTAAGCTTCTTGCGGGGCCTTGCAACCCACCCAAGAGACCATCCTCCCGGCTGCGTATACCGCCAGTGTGGCACCTCCACTTAATCGTAGTGTCATTTCTTTCGTCCTGGATGACCGTAAAATAGCTGCAGACGTCAAAAACTACGTAGATTAGAAAAAGGTTACCAGTTGAAGTAAACAGACAAATCAAAGTGTATTCCAAAAACCAACTATTGACGAATTCGAGGCAAGTAAAGCCACAAGGAGGAAAAAGTCACTTAACGCCGTTTTATAAACAGACAAGATGATACGACGTCACGGTCGGTCCTGCATAAAAATACACACTCTTTGGTGTCCACTTTCATTCAACAGAGGACGTTAACTTTACACAAGTTATTCCACATAATCCCTGTTCAAGTATTGAGGTCAAATCCTTCAAGGTACTTGTGAAGTGCTGCTAGTATATCCCGCATAAGTCGGACGAGTTTGACGAAAGAATTCGAGATTTTTCTCACCCTGTAAAGGGACTTCAATTGAAGGAAGTTTAGCTTTTTATTAGAAAGCTTTGGTCACTTCAACATTACCATCTTCTGTCCTACGGTTTAACGAACTCATTCATTTGGCTATTTTACTACCTGCAACCAGAGGGCACCAGTTGGTGATCCTATTAAAAGCTAGAACGCCCAAGGGCCTTTAAAGCACCATGACTAATATTGGTGGAAAGTCCTTTTAAGATAGCTTTTGACAACTGATTTCAAGTATATAATGATCCGATGACCTCTCGTGATACTCGGGTAGCTGCAGCACTGTGAAAAGGTTAATCTCGACAACTTGTTACATCCCACTCGGGGATAGGGCCTAGTGAAAGTATTTTATGATGCCAAATCGCGTCCTCCCTGTCTCTCTACCGCCAATGACAGAGGAAAGCTACGGTACTGTCCGGGTTATTTTGTTTCCCGAAGTCCGATGACTCATCGCCTTGACAAGTTGGATGAGTCACCGGCATTGGAGAGTCACCAGCCCTAGTAGCGGACGGCACTGGCTTTTGCACGCCCACATTGTCCTGCTGGTCGGTTGTTATTACTTTTGCAGTCACAATAATCCGTTAAAACACCAAAATATTGTTTCTCACAAATTAACCTAAAAATGGCATAACTGTCGCTGCAAACTCTCGCCCTCAACGCCAACTTGTACAAGGTGAAGTTGGGGCAGGCACTCCAATGAACGCAATTTGCGAGAACACCAAATATGCAAAAAAATTGCGTATTAATGACTTCAACGTAAGTAAATTAAATTACGGACTCTGAAAAATGCAAAAAAACCAGGGTGGGTTAAATGAAATTTTAATTTGGCTGAACGTCAAGTCCAAAAAACTCCTTTTAACTTCTCCCGAAAATGCGGATCGTTTAAAGTGGTAAGAAGGGCTTTTGCAGAGTTGACAACATTCATATAAAGTGTGAACAGCAACCGGTACGGGGGATACCATTGTTGTCAAGGGTCAGTCTCCCAAGTAAATTCCTCTCTGATGTATTCGGAAATATTTTAGGAATCCCGAATAAAGGTGCAAAAATTACTACCGCCGATAAATCATGCAGTGTTCCCTCTTTCTAGTTCAAATTCACTGCATCGACTTCGTATACTTTATTACGGGCCCTTTAGCGCCTCCTGAGAGGTAACAAGAGGCTTTGTGGTCTGCTCACCAAAACAGTCTCTGTTTAATAATAACTAACTGCACGGGCATCTTAGTCTCTACATGACATCCAGTCCATAATTACGGTTTCCCTGTCCCCTTCTCTACGTTGATAAGTACCAAGCTAAGTTGTTTTGCTTCCTTACGCCCTCGGAGATGACCTTGGGAGCAAGGTTAGAATAAGACTTGATAGACAAGCAAATTTCGGTACAAAAGAAGTTTTCACA